TAGCAGTAATCTTTTCAGACACTGGCTGTTTATAAAAAAAAAAATGGTCCGAAACCATAATAAATAGAATTCTTGCCTCGATCAAAAACAATAAAAGTTCGAACACTTCGAAAAAGTAAAAAAAGAGAATCGTCAGCTGTAGGATTCGAACCTACGCCCGCGAACGGAATTGATAACGAGAGGTTCTACAGACTACTTAAAGTCCTGACATGAACCGCAAGTTCGAGTCAATCGCCTTAACCACTCGGCCAAACTGACCATAGATGATAAAATATTTCGCAGTTGTGAGCTCATGAGCAAAAGGACAATTGGAAACTAAAGCTATACATGTTTCCCTTCGCTATTTACTCACCACTTATCGGATTTCAATATATGATTAGAATTAACAACAATTTGGAACCTAGTATTGATTTAATATGAGTTATCAACTAAGCTAGGTATAATGGAAGGTAGGAAAAAGTGCAGCATGTGTGGAGATGGGGAATGTGCAGAGGTCCAGTCAGATGAGGTGGTTTCGAAGTTATATCTTTAACTAGCATGTTAGTCAGTCAAGGAGTGGCAAAGAAGTAACTTATAATTTTACCCGAGGGTCGAACTTGGACTGAAATATTAGAAGTATTCTGCTCTTTGACCAATCATAATCGAGTCAAGCTCTAGGACCAGAGGTCAGGTGACTTATTGTCACCTGACTGTATCCGGGTCCACTTGACTGCCCTTCCGACCAGCACTCTTAGGAGATTACGGCAAATAGAGGAAAGGTCAAAAAATAAATCGTCAGCTAGAGGATTCGAACCTCTGCCCGCGAACGGAATTGATTTCTAGTCAATCGCCTTAACCACTCGGCCAAACTGACAATAGGCTACGGATTTTTCGAAGGATTGCCATCAGGAGGGGTCTCTCACTAAACTGATGGCAAGTGGCAGATAGCTTGCGTTAAGTCAACGAGCAAGGCACTTTCGAAGCTAGTAAAATCTAAACCCCATCTAAAAATGTATTGGTCATGCTTACAATACGTGTGGCATATTGTGTTATCCTCTATTTTACCTTTCATGATGTTATACGAATTCCTGACGACAAGAGAAGATCGGCATTGATATAACAGTAGCTTTGGGGATAGTGATAATGACAGTAGGCGACATATCTATCCTGTGCCTCTTATCCCTTCGATGAATCCTTAAAGAATCGCTTGCTAACTTTTTGATTCGAGAAGAAACTACATAGATGTCACTGTCATCTTAATCTCCTGGCTAATTATCATAGTGCAATATATATATGCGCTAGTTGTTTACGACCAGAGCTAGTTGGATCCTAAGACCAGTATTCATATGTTTGCGGGTAACTTTTGGGGCCTTTAGCCTAATAGGATGGTTTTGCTGGTGTGCGATGTATGTGCAACTTGGGGCATAAGATAAACGGACATCTAGAGATAGCTAGGCTTATAGTCTCACTCAATCTAATGGCGCTATGGTGACATATATGTGTTTGAATTTGATAGATGGTGGTCGATTGGGCCGCTTGCTTGTGGGAGCCGCATGTATGCAGGTTGTTGTTACGGCTTTTTATCTCGCTGTAAAGAAGCTTCAACTGTGACATATTGTTAGCCAATGGTCATCTTCTTACGTTCTATGTAGCAGTTGTATAGATTGTTTACATATGAGGTTGGGAAACATTAGGTATTAAAAATGGGCCAAAACACTTCCATCGTCCGCCTAGAGATATATATCTCGAATAGGTCCCATTAGGTTTGATCCCAGAAAACCACTAGCGGAGACAATGACGATTCACAACGAATAAACTCGTGAATAGCTCCACAGTGATAATGAGCCTTTCTGAAATTGTACCGTAGAAGCCAACAGCATCACAAGTGATCGACACATCCAGCTGGTAAAACACAAGCATATAAATATATATTTCCGCCCATAGCGAACTGAAAACAAAACATAGAGGGGTTCAATTTCGAAAGCAGATGGAATGATTATCTCATGTCAACTACATTATTTAGACTCCCCCATCTGTCCCCGGAATATTAGAGCGCTTGCCAACCATCCTAGGACTAGGAACTCCACAACTTTATACCGCAAGATTATTTCACACCAAAACACATCGAAATCTTGAAAATTACTAGGGAGAAAATGTGCCCCTAGAATGGGTTCGAAATTATAGCAGGAAATACGCGGGCCATACACAGGGGTCAAAGAAAGAGACCAACACGCCCAGAACTTCGCATTGGATATTAATTAATACGCTGTGAAATATAAGCTTGCCAGTTTAGCTAAACAGATAGAATAATCCCATCCCCGTAGGAAATTGTAGTATAGGGTGTCGTATCAGCCGACAGATTTAACTTGGTTTGATGTTTGCAATGTCGAACACCGAAGATCATCAACCTGTAGGAAATAGAGTCTGCTGCTGATGGCAAATATTTCCCAAATCTACAATCCTTTGTCAGTTTGGCCGAGTGGTTAAGGCGATTGACTAGAAATCAATTCCGTTCGCGGGCAGAGGTTCGAATCCTCTAGCTGACGACTTTTTTTGTGACTTTATTGCCACAATATATTATTTCCCGCGTATCTATTGGAAACGAGTAAAATGGCAACTTAAAAGTCTAATCTAACATGTAAGGCAGGCGTACGGACATTCTGTGTTTTCCACCTACCCCCATCAAAATGTCCGTTACACCACTGTCCCAATTTTCGGGACCTTTTACGCCCTTTATCGTGCCGTCTTTTGAGATTGTTTTTAAGTCACTCCTTTCTCTATATCATGCTAAATTCTAAAATCGACGGTCTTGATTTATTGGTTTTCTTCCGTCGCGACGGTGTGTACAAACTGGCTGATACATACCTACCTAGGTGTAACTTGCCGCGGGCACTACTTACAGGCGGGCCTATATTCCTTGTGTACGTATAGCTTATAATGGAGGGCTCGAGATTGTTTTTCTACGGATAATTGCCAGAGTTCGCCCGTTCGCGAGATTTAGTGCCATAACGTATTGAAAAAGCCCTCTACGAGGCAAAATGATAGCTCGAGATATAGCGAGAAGTTGTATATAGACTGGTGTAAATTCGGGACATACCTTGGACAGAGATATGGTCAAGCTTCCTGGTACAGATTTTGGTGTAAAGCGAGTCCGCCTTAACTGGAACCTGACGGAGCTTATGGCTCTCCCTTAATAGGCGTGGACTCGAAGAATGGTTGAGATGACTGATTTGGGTTGATAACGACCCCAGGACATATTGCCAGACTACAGAACCCATAATAACTCTGCGTTTGCGAGCGTGGGTGTCAGGGAGAAAAAGCTACTCCCACAAAATTCCATTGCCTCATGATCTGGATACGAGGCACTGCACGTATTCTCAACACCAACCTCTGTACCAGCCAAAGATTGCCATTCGATACATAAGTGCTCATTGGTTCGCGGGATAATATGTAATCTACCTATGTTAGGCTGCGTAACAATCAGAAGAAGAACTTACCTCTATTTTCCTATGTATTATAGAGGGTAGCAAATGATCTAACTTATACATTCATACTAACATAGGAAACAGAAGTGAGTTGCCGCTACACGAAGCTAGCAACATCTCTATTCAGCGATGAATAAAAGCCCGATGTCGCACCAAGGAACGTAAACCACCATAAGCTCACTATAGCTCGAATTGCTCCTCAATCCCATGCTTCTGACGTTTGTCTAGCTACATTAAATGCTCTAGTGAGGAGGGAATATAGAGCAATTACACACAGACACCACGCAATACCTACCTCTCGTCCTCGGGATAAGGTAGTTAAATGAGGTTTTTTTGCAGGGGTGGAGTACATCATAAAGAATCGGCTGCATAATTTTGCATAACTCGGAAGTAAACTTCAATTGTTAATATCAACAACAAATGATGGTTATATCAAGAAGGAGCTTGTATTTAAATTCGACTGTTTGTGCAATATGATCGGGCTTGTTATGTAGTCAAAAATGAGATTGCTTACCTCATAATGTCAGTTTGGCCGAGTGGTTAAGGCGATTGACTCGAATTTGCGGTTCACGTCAGGACTTTAAGTAGTCTGTAGGACCTCTCGCTATCAATTCCGTTCGCGGGCGTAGGTTCGAATCCTACAGCTGACGATCTTTTTTTCGTCTTCCCCAAAGTTTTTTATGTCTAGTAACACGAAGTATCTATCATAGAACAACTGCTGTTACGATCCTCTCGCTTACTTCCCCCTCCTCCCTTTCTGTTTGCTTTAGCCAAATGCATTTTTCGTGAAAAAACTCGCACATGATTCGGTTACAGCGGTTCCCTTGGCCAAAAACCTTGATATCTTAAAAGCCCATGACTCGCGAGATCTGCCCACAATAACATTTCATAGGGCCACCACGTGGGCATAGAATGCGAGATGCTATGTTACTGTAGTTCGCAGGTGGCAAAGGGAATTGGAAATTGGACCATTTCCCGCCCATCGGAACCAACAGTGACATGACGCCAAGCGCGGGCTGTGCTCTGTCCGAGATGCCCAGACTTCCAAGCATCTCGGCACTGCACTGAACCCAGGTCAAGCTCTATACACGTTCAATCAGAGTTCTTCAGCTCGAAACGTGCTCCTTCAATTCAAATGACTGGCCCAACAGAGACCCAGGCACACTGTCATCGCCGGAAACTGAGCTACGACCGCTCTTGGCGTCCGCTCTCAAGGCTTGGCGCCAGCATCCGCTGGAGTTCTTTGATCGGCGAGAGCAACCCATGAAATTTCGGACTCAGCCAATGATTGTTCAGGATATGGTGCACGTTTTCGAGGAGGTCTATGGGATGGGTTGAGGTCCTGTATCAGCGTTTTCCTCAATATGGACCTGGCCAAGGTCAGAAGAGCCTTTCTTTCAAAGCCGCACTTGGCAATAGCCGTGGCATGACTGTGCCGCTCGTATAAGGGCAGCACGGAGTGCACAGAGATACCGTTGTATCCCAGTTCCCAACTTCCTCCATTTGTTGCTTGGTCAATCAAGTTCCATTATCACCATGGCACCCATAGCAACCGCCAAGTATGACTGGATCCTCGCCTTGACCTCGATTGCCTTCGTCTTCAGTGCCTTCGGTAACGGTGCCAACGATGTCGCCAATTCATACGCAACCTCCGTCGCAGCCCGGACACTTAACATGGCCACGGCTGGTGTCCTGGCTGCCTGTACCGAGTTCATTGGTGCAGTAGCCATGGGATCCCGAGTCTCATCTACCATCAAGAACGGAATCATCGACATCAAAAGATTTGAAGGAAAGCCTGGTGCCCTCATGCTGGCTATGGGGTGCGCAGAGATCGGAAGTGCCTCATGGTTGATGCTTGCCACTGGATTGGGCTGGCCTGTTTCGACAACGCAGACCATTGTCGGTGCTCTTATTGGTGTTGGATTTGCCTCGCAGGCTGACATCACCTGGGAATGGAAGAGTGGTAGTGTCTCCCAGATTGCTGCATCTTGGGGAATTGCACCTCTCATCGCGGCTGGATTTTCGGCCATCATCTTTGGTATCCTCAAGTACAGTGTGCTTGAGCGAAAGGATTCCTTCAAGTGGGCGATGCGCCTGATTCCATTCTATTTGGCCTTCACCGGTGCAATTCTCGCCCTCTTCATCACCATCGAAGCCCCCTCGGCGCCCTCATTGGAAGAGTTCGGTGCTGGCAAGATCGTCGGCATCATCCTCGGAGTCTTCTTCGGCTGTCTCCTCTTTGCCTATGTGTTCTTCATGCCATACTTCAAGCGCCGCCTCATCCAGAACGATAGTCGCATCAAATTCTATCACATCCCGCTTGGTCCGTTGTTGCTCCGGGAGAACCCACCTCTTTACTTCCCTGGCAAGGGTGAAGGCGTCGTGATCAACTACTATGAAGACGCCTACGGCGAAGTGCACGCAGGCCAGATGGACGCTGCAAAGCACAACACCACAACCGACGCAAGCTCAGTCCTGGCCTCACCCGAAATCACAGCGAAGACCAAACCTGAAATCCCAGCCGAAGATGAAGAAAAGAACATGGATTCTGTCAACTCAACACCCCAAATCAAGCCCCGAAAGAAGCACATCGGACCCACCGAGCGATTCATCGACCCAGTTCGCGACCTCTCCTGGGTAAACCCTCTCAAGGCCTGGGGATACATCAAATGGATTCTGCTGCAGGGTGTGACACGCGATGTGGTCACGCATGACTCGGCACACCTGCGTGCAATCCACGCCCGCGCAAACCGTTACGACGACCGCGTCGAGCACCTGTGGACATACTGCCAAGTTGTATCGGCGATGATGATGTCGATTGCGCACGGATCGAACGATGTTGCCAATGCCGTTGGACCCTGGGCTGCCACATACAGCACATTCCACGCCGGTGTTGTTGAGACTAAGGCCCCGACACCAGTCTGGTTCCTCGTCGTTGCGGGTCTGCTACTCGGTCTCGGTTTCTGGTTCTACGGATACCATATTGTGCGTGCGTTGGGCAACAAGATCACTCAGATGTCGCCAACTCGTGGATTCAGTGTTGAGCTTGGAGCGGCTATTACTGTGCTTTTGGCTTCGAGACTTGGGTTGCCCGTCTCGACCACGCAGTGCTTGACTGGTTCTGCGATGGGCGTGGCTCTCATGAACTATGATCTTGGTGCTGTTAACTGGAGACAGCTTGGCTTCATCTTTGGTGGTTGGGTCTTGACTCTGCCCTGTGCTGGGTTGGTTTCTGGGTTGTTATGTCTCATGGCACTGAATGCTCCTCATCTGTAAATATAGATCGTCGGTTTCTGTTGAGCCGATTAATTGTCGAGTTCTCTTTTGTATATAGCATTGGTTGTAATTGTCGATACCATGCACAAGCTTCTCGAAACCGAAAGCATGTTTCAATTCTATCTAAGTAAATACGAAAATGTTAAAAGGGAATTATCGCTGGGGATGTCCAATTAATGCATGCTGCCCACGGTTAATTAATCGAACAACGGGTATCCTGCTAAAACCAAAACAGAGTGTGATCCTCTACTTGGTGCGCTTGTAGATCTTGGCGAGGAAAGACTCGAAGACCTCCTTCTTCAGACCCTTGGACTCATCCACGGCGGCGATCTTCTCACGGATCTCACCAACAACCTTCTCCTCGTACTCCTTATAGACAGCCTCGAGGCCGAGCTCGTTGAAGACAGCCTTGACCTTGAGCTCCTCGGCCCGGTCCTTGCGACCATAGCTGGCGTCAAGGACCTTGCGCTGCTCGGGGGTGCAGCGCTGGATAGCCTGGTTGACAAGCCACGAGCACTTGTTGTCCTGGATATCAGTACCGACCTTTCCAATGAAGGCCGGGTCACCGAAGTTGTCAAGGTAGTCGTCCTGGATCTGGAAGTATTGACCCAGGGGGATGAGGATGTCCTCGGCCTGCTTGAGGGTTTCGGGGGTAGCGAGTTCAAGGTAGATAAGGGCCAGAGCAACAGGCAGGTAGAAGCTGTAGTAGGCGGTCTTGTAGGTGACGATGAACATGTACTTCTCCATGGAAAAGTTGTCGAGGTTGACGTTGTCCTCGGGGGCGGTGATCAGATCACACAGCTGACCGAGTTCAGTCTGCCAGGTGGTCTCATGGAAGAGCTCAACGAGGTCAATGTAGGCGGGGTGAGAGCGGAAGCGTTGCTTCAGGATCATGTAGATACCCGACTCCAACATGAAGGCGTCGTTGATGGCAATCAGACCAACCTTCTCCTGGCGGTACCAGCAGGGCTGGCCACGGCGGGTGATGGAGCTATCCATAATATCGTCGCTGACAAGGAAGAAGGCCTGGAGCAACTCGGTCATCCAGCCGAGGATGCTGAGATGCTCGAATTGCTCATCGCTCAGGGGCTGCTTGAGGAGAGCCAGACCGGTGTCGGGGACCGAGAGGCCACGGTTCAGCTTGCCACCAGGAACGTTGGCATTGAGGGACTATAGTATTTGAGGGAACATGTCAGTCATTCAATAGGACAATAAAGATCAAGAATGGGGCGCTCACGTTCTCGAACCACTCGAGGGCGTTGGCGGGGAGGTTGTAGCGCTTCGCATGGGCGAGGATGTCCTGGGCCAAGGAAGGGAAGATGGCCTCGAAGTCGGCACGCTTGGTAGTTTGAGCCATTGTGACTAGTATGTGTAGTTCAAGACGTCAATGTAGTACAAAGGAAATACCAAAAAACACTCCGATCAATTCCCCGCGGAGAGGGGTGGTGGTGTTTGTGAGGGTTTGCACTGTTTGCCGTGTTTGTTCGTATCGCGTTGTTTCTCCAGGCGCAACGACTTGGATTCTTTAAGCTCAATACACTATCTTCGTGATTTTCAGCTCCGTCATATTAATCATCGGCCCGGGACTGTCTAATAATTGTTTGCAATTTCCTTGCCGGTGGATTGCTTTGTCCGAATCCACGCGCCTGAAGCACAAAGCCTTTATTTACACGATCTACTGATGATCCAATTGCAGTGATTTTTCGGCTTCATATGATCAAATGATGATATCAAATTACGAGGAAACGCCTTGATTAATCCAGAGCTCTGGTCGCCCATAGAGCTACAGATCGAAATACGCCTCGAAACACCTCCACCTACTTACACTGGAGATACAAAACATGGAAGAACCAACGGACGATGCCATCCAAGAGCTTAGGTGGCAACTGGAAAGCGCAGCAATAAAATGCTCAGAGCGTTGTCTCTATCAATCGGCAAAATGGTATGAGTGGTAGGCTCTATGCGAGAAGCCCAGAGAAACTAATGAGATTCACCTAGGGCCGCCGAAATGCTCGATTCTCTCCGGAGTCTACATCATGAAGACACCGATATCGAATCGCCCATGGACATCAATGAACTTGCACCACCGCCTCCCAACCCTTACCTACCCGTGCGGGACATAGCAGAAGCTAGCCTTGAAGCGCAAGAGTCCTACAAATACCTTCTGGCCAAATCCTACTTCGACACTCGCGAATATGACCGCTGTGCGGCCGTGTTCCTTCCTCCAACGACCCCACCTGTTCCTTTGTCGGTCACCTCACCCAACTCTAAATCCAGACAACAACGGGCCTCAAACAAGGGCAAGGATAAGACAACGCCATTCCAAGGCTCGAAGGCTCAAACGCACCAGAATCCGTATCCCAGACTCAGCCAAAAATCACTATTTCTCGCCCTGTATGCCAAATATCTAGCTGGAGAGAAGCGAAGAGAGGAGGAAACAGAGATGGTCCTAGGTCCAGCAGACGGTGGGATGGCGGCCAATCGGGAATTGCCAGGCCTAGCGCGAGGGCTAGATGGGTGGTTGAAGGATCGAAGCGCACAAGGCTTGGAAGATCAAGGTCAAGGATGGTTGGAGTATCTATACGCCGTTGTTCTGTTGAAAGGACGCAATGAGGAGCTAGCAAAGAAATGGCTTCTCCGCTGTGTGCATCAGAACCCATACCACTGGGGCGCTTGGCAGGAATTGAACGATCTTCTGGCTAGCACAGAGGATGTAAGTTTTCCTATCGAACTATGCATCTTCTTGGTACTGACATTAATGTCAGTTGAAACAAATACTTGGCTTGCTCCCGCAGAATGTCATGAGCATCATATTTTACGTTTACTGCAGCCAGGAGCTGTACCAGGATACGGATGAGACTTACAGAGCCTTGACCGAACTGGAGTCTACGTTCCCGGAGAGTGCATTCTTAAAAACACAGCGCGCATTACTCTGTTATCATTCAAGAGGTAACCCCCTGACTTCCCAGATTGTCATTCAGCGTCTTTTTCCTGACACGATACAACCAGACTTTGAGGAGGCATCCAAAATATTTGAAGGCATCCTGGCAACATCACCCCACCGCCTAGACAGCCTCGATCACTATTCAAACATTCTTTACGTGATGGACCATCGACCTCAACTTGCCTTCGTTGCTCAGGTCGCAACCGCTACGGACAAATTCCGTCCCGAAACCTGCTGTGTTGTCGGAAACTACTACTCTTTGAAATCTGAGCACGAGAAGGCAGTAATGTACTTCAGACGTGCACTCACCCTTGACCGCAACTTCTTGTCTGCCTGGACCCTTATGGGCCATGAATACATTGAGATGAAAAATACGCACACGGCCATTGAATCGTACCGTCGTGCTGTCGACGTCAACCGCAAAGACTACCGTGCCTGGTACGGTCTTGGACAGGCCTACGAAGTCTTGGACATGTCATTCTACGCCTTGTTCTACTATCAACGCGCGGCTGCACTACGTCCATACGATCCAAAGATGTGGCAGGCAGTGGGCTCTTGCTATGCGAAAATGGGCCGGATAGAACAAAGTATCCAAGCCCTCAAGCGCGCACTGGTGGCTGGATCATCTCACACAGATGATGGCGGCAACGCTACAAACTTTGGTCCTGGATCTCGGAAAATTCTCGACCCAGAAACCCTTCATCAAATCGCAACATTGTACGAGCGACTTGGCGATGAGGACGAAGCCGCCGCGTACATGGAACTCACTCTGCAACAAGAGTCTGGTGCTCCTCCTGGCGAGGAGAATAGCGACGAAGAAGATTCCTCGTCTTCCTCGGAACGGACCACTCATAGCGATGCCGAGATTGAGCATTCAGAGGACGAAGATGTTGATACCTCGCGGAGACGCCGCCAGAATCGCAAGGCCCGTGCCAAGACCGAGTCGTACGGTATCCAAAATGATGACTCGATCAACAGTGAGTCGTGGCACGGTACTGGCGTCACTGCAACCACTTCCAAAGCAAGGCTGTGGTTGGCACAGTTCGCATCAAGGAATGGTGACCTAGACCGTGCAGACCAACTGGCGAGCGAGTTATGTCAGGATGGTATCGAGGTGGAGGAGGCCAAGGCGTTGATGAGAGATGTGCGGGCGAGAAGAGAAGACGCAGGCTAGTTTTATTGCTTGTTTGAGATATCCTCCATTGTGAATCGCATAAAGTCTCTTATTAGTATCCATAAATAACATCTATGATTCTATGCACCAACCTATATCTTGCGAGAGCGAGGCCAATGATAGGAGAATGTATAGATATGCATAGTCTGTATTCTTATACACACAATGGTAGTATCAAAAAGCTTGAACGCCATAAAGCCATTCAATAAATTTGTGCTATCTACCATATATAGTTTAGTCTCAAGTTTGATATGGCTGCCTTACTTGTTCTTTGTCCTGGGCACGGTGTTTTTTATGCGGACATAGCTTTTCACGGTCATATATAGAGGGATCAACGAAAAACCAATTCTATGGCAGACAGCGCTAGCGGCGAAATGTTTAATAAACATAAGGAATTTAGAAGAAGAAAAAAAAAAGAATGCAGTTGTGAAACAAAAAGAGAATCAACACAAAAAAGAATCGTCAGCTAGAGGATTCGAACCTCTGCCCGCGAACGGAATTGATTTCTAGTCAATCGCCTTAACCACTCGGCCAAACTGACGTCAGATGTAAGTCTGACAAGTCTATCTTATATCAGATCGATTCCAGTATACATGAGTTATAATATCGATTTTCTACCGTATTTTCAGTCACATCTATTTTATTACTAGACAATATAAATCAATAATTATTTTTCAGGTCTTAGGACTGGAGAAAACTGGGGGCGAAGCAAAAAAAAGAAAAGGAGACAAAAAATAAAGCGTCAGCTAGAGGATTCGAACCTCTGCCCGCGAACGGAATTGATTTCTAGTCAATCGCCTTAACCACTCGGCCAAACTGACAGTTAATATTTGAAATTTGGCAAAGTTGACTACAACAGCGGCAAGCCAAAATTACAGGATTAAATCGCTTACACCGTCGGGAACACATATCGATATGGGTTTGATTTTGTTCCCACAACGATTGATGCTGTTATTATATTTGGTGCTCGCTAGCAGCACTTAATTCTCAGGAAGCACCTATATCCGTGAATAGCGTGGCATATTTTAGAAACGCGTCTTTCAGTATCGTAAGAATGGATTCGGGCAATTCATATTCTATCACAATATATGGTACTAAGAAAACTTGTACAATGCACTGATCAGGAGCCCAGAGGTATTTACTATAGAGCTATACTTACCCCTCAATCTCTGGCACTTCGACTATACAAAGAGAGAAAAAGAAGAGCATGTAAAGCTAAGTCAGATGACCCACAAAAATCATCAAGGCATCTGAAACCAGAATTGTATATAGTGACCCCTAACAAAGGAGTAAGAAATATGATAAAGGAGCAAAAAAGGAATCGTCAGCTAGAGGATTCGAACCTCTGCCCGCGAACGGAATTGATTTCTAGCTGTAAAGTACGTTAGTGAGAGGTCTTTGACTCATAATTGAGGTGGAACGTACTCAATCGCCTTAACCACTCGGCCAAACTGACTTCTGATTGGCTATTTGAATGGTTGGTAGCCATTATGTTTCAGAGACAGCACAGTGGGCAACACGAGACTAATGAATGGTTCGTTTAGGCCGTCAAATTACATAGATTTTAATTTTACATTTAGTCAATTTCTACAAGAGTTCTCTCATGTTATTTCCCTGCTTTCTGGCAAAGAATATTCCAAATCAACTCACAATAGAGACATACGTAGCATAGGCTGTCCGGGTGGATAGAGATATTTGGCAAATATGCAATTGAGATACTCTGGTAATATACGACTGTGATAGCCATTCAGACAACTCACATCTTGTATCTCTCTTCCATACTACCAAAGTTTAAGAGAAAAAAAGGTTGAATTCCACAGACTGCTCTGACATTGGCTTGTCGATTTCAAAAACTTTATCGTTTACAGCATGAACCCTCCAGATGAAGTCCGCAAACTTGTTTTTTGCATGTTAACATTGCAATAGTCGAACTGAAGATTTTCACGGCTTGTCCGGGTTATCATTGATCGCCAATGGTCACCTTCATCCATACTAGCGCTTACGTATATCTCCACTCGATTGCCAAAGCCAGTTTACGCGGACGACACGCAACACCCATTAGGGATGTGATAACTTCTTTTCTGACAGTAGCCTCTCAAACAAGTTACCTGATAGGAAATAACATGCAAAAGTAAAAACAACAGCAACAACGACAATTACCCTTCGGCCCCTATACACATCATCAATTCAATATAGCCGGCGCAAGCTGTCGCGGCCCGGCTCCACAGATGGAGAACACCTACAACGCCAAGATGTAGCCATTATAAGCATCAAAATCAGACAAGCTAAGTCCGGGGACGCGCAGCCTTACCTCTAGTCCCACTGAAGAAAATAGAATGCCACTATTATCCAGCAACATGAAGTTTTTTTCTCATCCCACACTTAGCAACCAAATATGCTACCCCAGCACGCTATACTTATACACTCTGTATCGTTATCACTCTTCTTACCATTCACAAACGCGGATGTAAAGCCCTACTACCGATCCACTAGCTATGACCGCAGCTACTACGGCGCATGGCCCCAACAGAGCTACCACTCTTCATCACTTTCCGGTCCAATCCTGAATTACTGGCATCGCAGTCGAGCCTGTGAAGATGGGAGATATACACTCATTGCACCGCGTGGAGATTCAGTCAGACACAAAGGACCGATGATACTAGATCAGAATGGAGATCTGGTTTGGTTTAAGGAGTACGGGACGACGTATAATTTGAATATTCACACTTTTCGAGGGGAAGACTATCTCACGTTCTGGACTGGGAATGATGGGGTTCGTGGACATGGTAATGGGGTTTATTACATGGTGGGTGAAATGCATGGTCCACCAAGCATGTCTGCTAACTTGATAATTACTAGCTCAATTCCCGCTACGAAGAAACATACAAAGTCCGCGGTGTCAACGGCCTTCCTGCAGATCTGCATGAGTTTAACATAACACCTGATGAGACGGCTGTTTTTGCCGTATATGAAACTCGGCCCGCGGACCTGCGTGTTGTCGGCGGACCTGAGAATGGGTGGATTTTCGACGGTGTCTTCCAAGAAGTCGACATTGAGACGAACGAGCTTCTCTTTCAATGGCGCGCATCCGAACATTTTAACCTCAACGACGGTTACCGCGGAACTGAAGGCAATGGAAATTCAGAGGATGCGCCGTGGGACTTTTTCCATATCAACAGCATCGACAAGGATGCCCGAGGCAATTTCCTAATTTCTTCACGGTATATGAGCTGCCTCACTTATATCGATGGAAAGACCGGCGGTATAATCTGGAGACTTGGTGGGACGCAAAATTCCTTCACCGATTTATCAGATGGAGCAGCGACGAATATCAGTTGGCAGCATCATGCTCGGTTCCAGGAGGAAGATGCAGATGCAGACCCTGAGTCAGAAGATTACCCGAAACGTGCAATTACTATTTTTGACAACTCGTCTCGAGGCAAAGGTGCGCCCGAGAATAGAAGCCGTGGATTGTTCGTCGATATCGATGAGAAAGAGCTCACCGCGAGTGTCAGACATGAGTACTGGAATCCACTCCAGATTAGTAGCCAGTCACAAGGCTCAGTTCAGGTCCTCGACAACGGCAACGTGCTAGTTGGATATGGATTCGACGCGGCGTGGACAGAGTTCTCCGTGGATGGGGAAGTGCTATGTAATGTCCATTTCGGACCTTCCGGCGGCTTCGGTGATGGGAATATAATCTCATACCGCGTTTTCAAACATCAATGGGTTGGAAGACCGACCTCATCTCCCGATGCGGCGTTTGCAGAGACATATGTTGCAGTCAGCTGGAATGGAGCCACGGAGGTGAAGAGTTGGGTTTTGGAGGGGGCTGTTGATACAAGGAACGGAACTAATGGGAAAGGGTTCAATGACTGGAAAATACAACACCCAGAGCATCTTGATGATTTTGTGTTCGTCTCTGCTGTTCCCAAGTCTGGGTTTGAAACTGTTGTTCCTGTTCCTTCGGATATGCCATATCGAACCCTGCGCGTTGTTGCGCTGGGAGATGAAGGGAAATTCTTGGGCGTCACTGCTTCTGTGGAGTGGAAACCAGAGGAGTTTAACAAGGAGATCTTGATTGTTCATGGTGATGAAGATGATCTTATGGGTGAGTCTGGCATTGGGGACTTTTGGATGTTTGTGCTTGGGTTCATGTCTGCTGCGTTTGTTATGTTATGCGCATGGCTCCTTAAGGCTCATATTCGTAACGGTTTACTTGTACAACTCTTTAGAAAAAGCCCCGACAAAGAGGCTGAGTATGAGGAGTGGATGTCCCTCAGTTCTAAGGAGCTGAATGTACTGGACGAGTTGAGTGATTTGGAAACCGGGGACCAGCCTGAGTCCCATCTCTTGAAAGAAGAGGACAAGCATGGCATACCGTGATCCTTGACATCAATTTAATTCGTACTTATATCCACATTATACCAGGTTTCGAGGCTTAGGATTGTATTTTGATTCATCAATCTGACATTCAGAACTTCCAACAAACCCCTGTTATGCAATGCAATGCAACCAAAACCCAGCCAAGCTGGATATCGCTAGGGAAAAAAAAAGCAATCAAAGGCACTTTTCAAGCTGGACTGCTAAGCCGTAGCAGCTGTTCCCTCAATGCCGCCTACAATGGTCTGTGCAAAGCCCTCAAACCGAGGATAAGACCAGCAGTCCCGGTATCGTTCAACGAGGGGCCGATCATCAGGCTCAGCAGTGTCTTGCGGTTGAGCGTTTTGCGCTTCGATCTGGTCTTCATCATCACTATCCCCAGCCTCCATCTTCCCCTCGACCAGCTCCCCAAATTTCACGTCAATCGGCACACTGCCCATGAACGGAATCTTGAGCTCCTGAGCCATAACCTGTCCACCACCACTGGAGAATAAATTACTCACCTCCCCACAGCACGGACAAGCATAGCCAGACATATTCTCAATAACCCCAAGAACGGGAATATTAGTCTTAACACAGAAATTAGCCTCCTTGCGCACATCAGAAGTAGCAACAGCCTGCGGCGTTGTAACAAGCACCGCGCCAGCTAAACGAGGTAATCCAGCCTGCGCAGCCGTCGCCGCATCCGTTGTAGAGAGGGAGAGCAACTGCTCCGCGAGCGCAATGTGTTCGTCACTCGTTCCGGGTGGCGTATCGATAAGCAGGTAATCAGTCGGCCCCCAGAAGACATCCGACAAGAACTGGCGAATCATAGCTGTTTTCTTGGGTCCGCGCCAGATGACAGCATCGCCGCGGTCGCGAAGTAGAAAGCCGAGGGACATGCAGCGGAGGGACCCGCGCTGGGTCTGTGTTGACTCTGAGGCATCGTTTGCAGGCTCTGCAGCATGTACTGGGACTGGGAGCCAGCCGCCTGGTGCTTGTGTGATTTTGGCATCTTCCAGGCCGACGAGGCGTGGCATTGAGGGTCCTGTTAGGTCGATATCGAGGATTCCGACGGATTTGCCTTGGAGGGATAGCGCGAGGGCTAGTTGGAGGGTAACAGAGGACTTGCCCACGCCTCCTTTGCCGGAGAGGACCTGATATTAGACATGCTTGTCAGCTGTGTCCTGTAGATGCGCGTTCGTGATCTCGGTTGCGGTGGTTTGTTATCGATAAGCCTAGAGGGTGGCATTCTTGCCCCTCGACAGATCGCACAGTAGAATGAAAGTCACACTCACCAGCACAACATTTTTGACACCAGTCAGAGGCATTATGCAGTTAATGTACAACTGAGAGAAGAAGTGAAAGTGCAAAGGAAATCCGAGGTGGGGAGCCGACCTCGGGGTGCGCTTATCAATCGCATTCTGACTAAAGATTCTATGGAAATCCTGGATGCCCTCACAGCTACAGAAAGGGTTGATTTGCCACTTATTTGTATTGGAGCTTGACTGTGGCCAAGTCATCTAGCTATTATGCTTTCCTGTGTATCAGATATGTCATAAAACGTTTACCCATGTGTCCCATTTCCCTGGTATCCGCTTTCAAAACCACTCCGACAAAGGAAAGTCTCGGGATGTTGATGGCGCTCACTGCCATTTCTGGACGACAACACCTCCGCGCTTGAACTCGGGCATGTCTCCGAGGACGACCTCCCGATCCTTCAGCTCTGTGCTGGGGAAAGTAGTCATCAAAACCCATGCGCGGTTTGCGGCGCTGGGTGAAGAGGCGGTAACAAATGAGTAGACGTCGCCAATAGTGGCGGTGGTGTTGAACCGAGATGACAACCTCGTACCATCTCCCAGGCGAATTTGTAGGGTAACGGTAGGTTGCGACTCGTCCACAGTGGGTTTGGCGGGCTCCTGGGCAGATGCTTCAGGCGTAGAAGAAGAAGGGGTGGGGGCTTGGCTTCGGATGCCAGGCGTCGGGCTTCCAAGGCGCTGTCCCGCACCGGAAAATGGCTTATATTGGGGCTTGGGCTTGATGTATTTCTCTTCGTGCTGTTTGAGTTCCACATCAACCTCCTGGCCAGGCTCAACATTCATGATGGAGAGAGGAGCGCGGCCCTGGCGGATGCCATCGAGGATCTCTGCGTTCCGGGGATCGTCCGATCGGAACAGTTCACCGTCATCAACTGAGAATCCATCGGCCCAGAAGTGAAGGGTGCGTTGGACACGCTGGGCACGCCGTGGAGCAGGGGCAGATGGGTTTTCAATCACCCGGCTCGGTGCATCGTCGCCACCAAGCGTGCGGGCGGTGCCAGTAAAATGTGATTCCCTCGGCTCGGGGTCGTCAGAAGGAGGAGGTTGCGCCCTGTTTATAGAACCGTGAATGTCAACATCATCCTTCCAAACACAGGAACCCTAAATGACTTACCTGCGGGCCTTTTCGAGGATCTTCTTCTTCAAGTCGTCAGGGTTCTGAACGGCCAATCCAGACTTCTCACCTCCCGCAAAGAAATCCTGATCATTGTCATCATCGTCATCTGAAGAATCGGCAGCTGCTCCCTGAGAAAAGTCTCCTAAAGTTGCAAATTTCTTTTTCGGAGCAGCGCTTCGGGCGGATGACGAAGACTCCGCGGCGGCAGAAGATGAAGCTGGTGCAGCACTTCCACCAAGAGTTCTCCCTCCAGGAGCTCCAGATCTACTCTCTGCACCCAGTTGTTGAGCGCCACCGGTGTTAGTGTCTTGCATTGCCTCGTCCTGCTCCGCGAAGAACTCCGTCACGGCGGCTTCCATGTCCCATCCGTTGGCAGTGAGATATTCCTGAGCCTAAAGTATCACGCGCCGATGTTAGCAAAGTGATAACTAGCATAGAGCGGACACACATCTTACCTCTGAGGGTTGGGTTCCTGTCATAGCACAGAATTGAGACACGACCTCATCGTGCTCTGCGGGGTTGCCCTCCATTTTTGAGCTTTATGGGTCTGTTTTGCTGGCGAATTTGGTAGAAAGAAGTGACGACAAGGTCAAGGAGAGAAGAAAAAGAGCTTCTTTAAAGTACGTAGAAGGAAAATCAGATGTTGAGAGTGTCGACGTCGAATTAGAAGACAGACCTAAACACTGGCTGACCAATTGAGAGTGACGTACCTGCCCGGCGCTAGGAATGTTCCGTCCCGCGATTATCGCCTGAGGCTTAACAATTATTGATGCCTCAGGCGGGAATATACAACTCACGTTTGGGCAATTTCGAATGTGTTATGCTATTTAGTGGTAGGAATAGAAATTATTTAAGTGTATAGACAAATACGTCTTTGATCTCCGATGAAATATCTATCGGAGTTTACATCAAAAAGTGTCAAGGTTAACACAGCATAGAACGAGCCCTAACTGAGATCGAAAATGTACATTCAGCCCCTAGATGGACAAAATTTCGAAGACCGTCTGAAGCAGGAAGCAAAGTCCTCTTCTCTTAAACTGAAGTTTTTTGATAGGTTTTGATAACTGATACGTTTTTGAGCAAAAGCGAAGGTCTTGTGACGGAAGGGAATAGATGTAGCTCAAAGACCAAAAAAAAAAAAAAGGGGGGGGGGACGGAGATCAAAGGGTGCTCAAAGCTCTATTGAATACTATGGACGTACATAATCTAGGTTTGGGATAAAATTGCGCTTCTAGCTAGGGCTGAACAAAGACTCGCTAGACAATATCATGGGCTTCGGATTTGGTGAAAGGAATATTTTGATATTGGTACCTTTCATGAACGCCACGGAAACTCAATTCCTAGCCTAATCCTAGTTGTAAGTCTAGGTCTTTGATATGTCCCGATTTGATTACCTCGAGAACCAACATGAAAGAGAAACGTACCAAGTCAACCGCAAAGACGAGGTCACTTATCATTATCTCACCACGAGGAACTGGTGTCAAAGAAATATCCACTCAAATTACCAAGTTTCTTTGTCTACATTCCTTGTAGTACCTGCCGGGTACAATTATAAACGGTGATATAAAGCCTCAACTCTACTACTTCCCCCTCTCCTCCGAGCCAGGAATCCACTCTTCGGTGATACTAGAGCCTTATTTCAAGCTTAAATCACCTGAAATCAATCTTTTCGCTAATACTATTACTGAACCAAGATTTGGAAACTAGCGAAAGTCCCACAATGGCGACCAGGAGATCATCGGCAAAGAGACAGCGAACTGATGAAGGCGACGACAAGAAAGAAAAATTACCCTATTTCCCTTCTGCCGCCGATTTCCTCCGCAACGAGTCCGGATATGAATATTTGACGTATGCAGACCTAGCCCCAGATCTTAAGACCTCCTACGTGGGAGTGTTTCCAGAACCCCCTTCCGCGCCACGGCCTCCGAAACAGACATGGCCCCAACTGCCTCCCAATAAGCCGGTCACAGACCCTAACGACTTACCTTTAGATAAAGGCTGGTCTATCCTCGAGAAGGATATTGATAATAAGTGAGTATCTGTCAATAAAACCCGAGGGGGCATTCGGCATTTGAAAATATATTGACCAGCTTGGTATAGTGATATTGATGCTCAAATATCAAGGTGCAAAGAAAGAATTAAAGAAAACTATATGCCTCAATTATTTGAGATCCGACTAAAAGGACTACAAGAGACTCAGAAACAACGAGAGTAAGAGTCACCGATTCAATTGACCGAGGACATACTGATAAAATCCCAGGGCAATGGCAACGAGGAACGGCTTCAAGGGCGGCGACTGGAGTATTCTTCAACGTGTGAACGAACTGAGAAAGATAGAAGAAGAACTCGAAAAAGAAGATAAACACGATCAGCTTCAGAATGTACAAGTTCTGCTTCAGGCATATCGGGGAGGAGCTCTGCAGTGGCATCCCGGCTTGGTCACCTACTGGCATAAAGGAACTCAACTTTGTAACCCACGTCCATTCTATTGGAAAGAATTCGAGGTGCTCAATGCCCACTGTGGTGGTACATCTGGATTTTGGATGGAAGGGGTAGGTCTCGTGAATTATTTTAAGTGGTAAAACCTGACGTTCAAAGTTGACAGGACCGGGGCCTGCGCCCTTATTGGCTTCTATGACCTTAGACGCCCGGCACGCCAATATGCTCAGAACTGTATGATCCCTAACCCTAACTCTCATTGATACTTTCTAACCCATCGAAGTATGATGTGGCAGTAAGAATACCACGCACGAATTTCTATGCCGAGTTTGAATTTGTGTACGATACCGGGGCATCTAACGCGATAATGTATCAAGCTGATATAGACATGCTCGAGCGAGCTTCCGGCACGACTGCTGCATGTATGGGGTTGCAGAATTGCTCGGGTGTGGGGGGAGCAGTCACACGTGGCATTCCGAATGTTGAGCTCGAATTCACGCTTCTCAACTCTAGCAAGCAGCGAATGACAAAATGGCAGAAAGTGAAGGTTGCCGTCTTACCAGGCTACTATACCTGGGACAATGAACGGTTGGACGGGCCGTGGCTCAGCTTCCTCTTATACATGGCAACGGCTCCTCGACACCGTGATCTGCTATACGTTGCTACTACTAAAAGTGACCTTATGCAAAAGTTGCCTGCTCAAGCTTCACTGAACCCGGTGGTCCAACCGCCGTATGCAGTTGTGCCGCAAGCCAATCCCCAACGACCCTTGGGACCACCGCCTAGGGGTTCTGGGGGCGCAGTTCCATTACCAGCGGTGGAGACAAATATGCCACCACCGGTCCAGGGCGTCCAGTGATTTCTTTTTCCTTGTGTTGATTTATAAGATGTTGATTATCGCAATACTAAGTTTGGTTTTACTTTATATCACAGAATCATTCCCGCAGACGTTTAGATACCTATGAACTACCTAAGTGAGTAAACGGTGAAGCTCCCTGTCAATCTAACAGAGAACACCCGATATCTCAATACGTATCTTTCTCATTTTCTGAACCGTAATCAGAATAAGCACTGTGTATACTTAATGGCAAAAATGAAACGGAACCCACTAGAATGTTGAATAAACCCCAAAGCACTTTGTCCCTACACCGTTGATATTAGTAAAACAAATATTGCGCCTTACTACGGTTAGCCGAGGGGCAGAGGCCCATTTAACATTCTAGTGGTCTGCTTAATTGTTCCCTCGCCTTACTGATATCTCAAAAACTCTTTCTCACAGTATTTTCAATATGATATATGAGTTTCCCTTCACAGCGTGTAGTGGAAGGCAGAAAGTCCTCAATAAGGATTCTCCCCTTTCGGGCCTTTCCATTAGCCGTATGGAAATATAACATTAACATGCCAGCCAGAGCTATAATCAAAAAGTTCAACCTGTCGATGGGTTAGAAAAATGTAAAGATTCAATCAACATGGCACTCAGGCAATCGAGGTTATCACGCCTGGGAAGAATGTTGGTGCATCCTGGGACCGATACACGACTGCCCCAATGATTCCTCCGGTACCTCCACAGGTAATCATACTAACACTGCAAAAGGCACGTTTCCATTGCCCGCGAATATTATTTGATTGCCAAGCGAGAACCGCAGGTATATTAGCATTGGAGCCTGAAGCGACGTGAAAGATGCCAAAGTATTGGACACCTGGCGAGGCAACCCATTCCAAAAGGCACAAACCAACAATTGTCTGCAATGAATTGTAAATAATTATGGGGCCCCGGAGATGCCATTTGTTCGCCGAGCCATCCTTCCACGTACATAACGACACCAGCAAAAAGTATGGAGGTGTGCGAGGGCCTGTGAAGTACCAGTGCGAAAGCCTAGCTTACTGGACAGGATTATTGGTAAAACGAATGCGATGGCATAGGAAACCACCGTGCTGCATCTGGAGTTTGATCAAAAAGTCAGCAGAAGATCGTGTAAAGCACCGGCAAAAGAAGAGAAGAAAATAAAAACAAGAGCTTGACCAACAAGAAGATTATAGCAAACCCCCAAACCTTCCACTCAGTGGCAGGCTTCATAAATGCAGAGAGAGTAAATGGTTCTTCAATGTCCTACCGATCTTGTTCAATCCGCCAAAGAACAAATTCGATCTCTCGGGTTGAAGAAAGTTGCGAGATTTGTGCACATCTTGTGGAAAGCTGACTAGGAGAAGAAACCCGACCACCGCTAAAACGCAAGTAAGAATACCCTCCATGCTGAAGATCCACTTCCAGGCAGCGAGCTCTGCAAGACCGGCCATTTGCATAAAGCCGTAGGCAAGGACCCCCGAAAGGGATCCCCCGATGACACTGATCAGGTAGAACGAGGAGTAGCGCTTGTGGACCTCATCTAGATAAGCATGAATATTCCCCAGGGATACACGGCACATTTACAGCGTGTATACCAAAGAGAAAGGAGGTATATAGCTCCTGGGAACAGACCTGCTTCAAATGTTCCCAAGATAACGCACAGTCCTAACATTACTTTCCAGTCGTGAACGAATCCATCCCTGCTACCATCAGTTTTGACCATATCCTAGACTTGAGAGGAGGGGACCTACTATCATCACAACGCCCCATGCAAAAGTTATACCTGCCAAAAATGTTCGCGCGCCGACTTTGCGAGCAACGATAGAGCTGGGAAATTGAACGATTACATATGGAATGAAGAATACCAAGAGCACAATAGACTGAAAGATCAGCCACAAAACCAAGAGTAAATCGAAGTCACTTACATATCGAGCCCCGACGTCCAATTTAAGCTCTTGCTACATCCTGCTAATGGTTAGTTGATTCCTTCACTGTAATACTGAGTCCTCACCCTGCGATCGAAGCATTTCCCAAATCCGTTCGGTCTATCAAGCTCACCCCAAACAAAATTCCCAGACCGGTGATAAGGCGCCGGTCTATTTTTGTGAAAATGCTACGCTGCTCACTTGGAGTGAAGCCAAAATCATCTCCTGTTGTCTCTCCTTGCTTTGTGGCATCTTTAGGCTCCATTTTGGGTGATCGAACTTCAATCAGTTCATTGCAACAAATTGGTTACCACTAATAATATCAGTTGGTTATATGTCATGCTCGGTACTTTCACTTCGGTAAATTTCCATGCAAAAACCCGGTATAAACGCGGGGTGCAGAGACAGATCTGGCACATTCGGTACTTGGGCCGAATATACCGAGATGGTGTCAAAAGCTCGGTACATGCACCATTTTATACTTATATAAGTTTCCTCGAATCGATCAATGTTCTGAAGATAATTTAGACAGTCCCCAAATCCTCTTGCTCTCACCATGACTGATTTTGACAACGCCTCCCGTGGCTTCATCGGAACCCTGGAGCCCGGTGTCATCAAGACCCAAGCAGGCCGCCTTGCATGGAACAACAATGAATACGACTTTGTTCAGAGAGCCAAGTGCCCGGACAGTGTTCATCCAAAGTTATGGCGACAAGCTCAGCTCTGCAACAAACACGGTCTCTTCGAGGTGGCACCGGGTGTCTACCAGGTGCGCGGATTCGACCTGTCAAACATGACGCTAGTCGAAGGCCAAAAAGGAGTGATAATCATTGATCCCTTGATATCAAATGAATGTGCTGCTGCTGCCTTTTCCCTTTACAAAAAGCATCGCGGTGAACGACCACTGACCGGGTTGATCTACTCACACTCTCATGTGGATCACTTCGGCGGCGCTCGAGGTGTCTTACCAGAGGGAATGGAAAATGATATTCCGATCATCGCTCCGGAAGGCTTCATGGAAGAAGCGACAAGCGAGAATATCTATGTCGGAACAGCCATGCGACGCAGAGCGAGATTTATGTACGGATCAAGCTTGCCTCGGAACCCAGAAGGGCAAGTTGGATGTGGACTCGGCATGGCAACATCTCAAGGAACGACTTCACTAATTCCGCCAAATATGCTCATTGCAACCACCGGCGAAGAGCGGGTAATTGATGGCGTCCGCATCGAGTTCCAAATCGTCTCGGGCACCGAGGCTCCTTCGGAATTCAACTTCTATTTCCTAGACAGCAAAGCTCTGTATATCTCCGAATGCGCAACTCACTGCATGCATAATATTATCACCCTCCGAGGTGCACTTGTTCGCGACTCTAAGGCCTGGTCGCAAGGTCTTGACGAAAGTCTGGTATTGTTTGGTGACCGAGCGACGGTGTTGTTCGCCGGGCATCACTGGCCGACATGGGGCCAACGGGACATTTCTCGACTACTTGTTGAGCAGCGCGACATGTATGCCTTCATGCATGACCAAACCGTTCGCCTTATGAATGAGGGACTCACTGGCGTTGAGATTGCCGAGAAATTAAGCCTCCCACCCACTCTTGATAAGGCCTGGCATATCCAAGGGTACTATGGTTCCCTCAGCCACAACATCAAAGCCATATATCAGCGGTATATGACTTGGTTCGATGGCAATCCTGTCAATTTGTGGAGACACACCCCCACGGAAGAAGGAAAGCGATATGTTGCTTGCATGGGTGGTGCAGATAGGACGGTGGCATTTGGGAATGAATATGCTGCAAAGGGAGATCTTCGATTTGCAGCAACCCTCTTGGGTCATGTTGTCGCCGCAGAGCCAAAACATCCCCAAGCACGGAAATCACTTAGCGCCGTCTTCACGAAGCTTGGTCATGGCGCAGTGAATGCGACGTGGCGTAACTTTTACCTTACTGGAGCAATGGACCTCCAGCAGGAAGGAACCCCAACTCTGCCCCCAGGAGACACGGTGCCAGGCCTCAATCCACTGATGAGCGTGGATCAATGGTTGAGTGGGATTTCTGTCCAGATCGATGGGCCCCGAGCAGCCAGAGAGGATATCGTCATTGACATTAAGCTTACTGATCAAAGTCAGACTTGGCGCTTGACTTTGAGTAATGGCGCTTTGACATACCGGATGACCTCTGATGATGCGGCTTTCACCGGAGGGGCGGGCTTGCATTTGACGGTTACCAAGGAAGACCTGGGGCAGTTGCTTCTGGCCCGGATCAAGCCTGAGGCCAAGGTGTTTAAGGGTAATCCCAAGCTATTCCATAAGTTATTGCAATTTTTGCCATGGGCAAATAGTTTGGAGAGCCAACTTTAAACATACCAAGAGGAGAAATGTGGTTTGATATCAATAAACAAGGAGCTAAAGGCTCTGAAGCCTTCAATATACATGATGGAAAAATAGGTAGCGGGTTTGTCCATCATCTGTTTCCCCTAGAAGTCTAATTAAATTGCCCTACATTCGCCAACAAGCCCTTCAAACAAGGGAAGCTTCCACAAACCCGAGCTGGTATTGATGGAAAATCCAATTCAGCTCATCACCCCCTAGATGTCATACCTCCATTATTGATGATCTGAGGCTTGAAGTTCATTGGAATACTAATCTGTTTGCTCATTCTTTTTCTGCGGTATGATTTATGCATTTGATCCGAAGAATCTGTCTATGGTAACCCCTAGGCTGATCTCAATGCCAGCTTAGCCTATGGAATTGTCCAATCCAATTCGCCGCGAGCCCCAGAACCTACACAGTCCGGCTATTTGCCAAGCTGCTTACTGCTAAGCCTCGGGACTACCTCAACTGACATCATATTCCCGGCAGACCCGTCAACCTCATATCTCCCCGCATTTCGGCTACCCTCCATTGATCCCGGCTTTCTTTGCGAACCGTAAGATGAGCAATAGCAGAGACAACGCTACAGATTGGGTGATCGGCGTTGATACAAGCTATCTAGAGTGGCCCGTTGAAAGATCGCCAGCGGGGGTGGCTTTAGGTGCCTGGCATTGTACTTTGCCATAAATCTATCATGTCCTGCTCAGCTTAGTTCAATAAATTACATTCAAAAATTGTTTTTTATTGATATCATGTTAAACAAAATCGTTGTTAATGCGTACAATCTATGGGTAGTGGTCTTCGTCGCCATTGGCACGATTGCCAGTGCCTATGGTCTAGCCATTATCGGATCAACCGTCGGGCAACCAAGCTTTTATACCTACTTCAATTTACCAGCAGAAAGCCAGCCGGGATATCCTCATGCAACCGACATGATCGGCGCACTGGTATGACAAACTATGGTGTTCTTATATATGCCAGCCTTGGTCTCGGTGGTTCAATACCTCTTCTTCTGAATGCATGCTGGACGAGCTTTACCCTAATTGGAGACACATGGACGGCATTCTATGTTGACCGGGTTGGTCGACGAACCTGCATGCTAATCGGTTCCATTGGCTGCACCGTGTGTGTGATATGCCTTTGCGCCCTGACAGCCCAGTATCTGGGGGCAGATAATATAGCAGGCCTTCGGGGAGCAGTGTTCTTTGTGTTTTTCTTCATCTTCTGGTGGTGTTTTTTCATTGACGCGACGCAATACATCTATGTCGCGGAGATATTTCCAAATCATTTACTCTCGCAAGGCGTCGCGCTCGGGCTCAGCAGTTTCTATCTCGCTTCTGATGTCACACTGGTTGCTGCCCCTGTAGCTCTCAACAGTATTGGCTGAAAGTTCTACCTTGTGCTCATTGTTCCGTCTCTTTGCTATATGGTGGCAATCTACTTCCTGTTCCCAGAAACGAAGGGTCGGACTCTGGAGGAAATTGGAGCTCTCTTTGGTGATGAGGCTAATGTTGTCTCACAGTGGTACAATGCTACACAGGAAGAACGGGAAAGCATTGCACAGGAAGCTTTCCATGAGAAGGCATGTGGATCTCCCAGTGATAGTGCACAGGAGAGTGACCCCAAGCCAGCTGTCGTTCATGATGTAGGATCTTGAATCAGATAGCCTTGGGAGTCGTGCGGATTTGTCCTTTGTCTCACACCTGTTTCATCCCGTCAACCTAGACAGCTGTTGTCTTAGTTATAAAACCATGTCATCAATACTTTCACATTTCTCAGTTACGCGTAAAGCCGACGCAATAGATAGCCCCAATGCGGCTCAGTTAAGTCCGGTGGAAATTCCGATTTCGAAGTTGACGTGGTCCAATCAAGTCTCAGATATATATCCACTACCATGACACGCCTTACTAAATCGGGCTAGCGTATTGTCATCATGGTTCTATCCTTTTCTTACGGACTTAATGGATAACGACACCTCTAGGTATATAAATGCAATATATTCTCACTTCTCTCCTGGACTTTACTATATTCATACCGTTTGACTACCTTACAATCTACTTAGCAAACCTCAAAATGCATCTCATTCTTACAGGTGCCACCGGCCTAGTCGGCTCGTCCGTCCTTGACGCGATGCTGAAAAACACCACCATCTCCAAGATCTCGATTCTCAGTCGCCGACCTGTGCCAATGGCAGATGATGCAAAGGACCCCCGGGTTCGCGTCATCATGCACAAAGACTTCGAATCATACAAGCCAGAGCTCCTTGATCAACTAAAAGACGCTGACGGATGTGTATGGGCCCTTGGAACGAGCCAGATGAATGTCACACAAGAGTAAGATCCAGAATATCCCTTTAGTCAGTGACATGCGTGAATATGATAATAACAGCCAATAGACAATATGTCAAGATAACCAAGGACTATGCTCTTGCTGCCGCTGAAGCATTCTCTACTCTCAAGGCCTCAAAGTCGGATTCACCTTTCAGATTTGTCCATGTATCCGGGGAAGGAGCCACGCAAAACCCAGGAAGATTCTCCGCAATCTTCGCCAGGATCAAGGGCGAAACCGAACAGCTTCTCGGCGAACTATCAGAGAAACAGAAGGGACTCATCCAGGTCGACAGCGTGAGACCGGCTTTCGTTGATGCAGCCGCACACAATGCTATCAAGCCTTATATCCCCTCCGCTACTGGAATCAGCGCTACTGTCGCTAAGGCTGGGGTCGCCTTGATAGCTCCAGGTATTCGCTGTCTGTGGAAATCGATGCATTCTCCAACCGATAAATTAGGACCATTTTTGACTGATGTAGCGATGGGAAAGATGGATACGAAAATTCAAGGCCCGGGCGCATTCAGACTTGGGGGTGGTTGGGTGATCGAGAATGTTGGTATGCGACGAATGCTGGGATTGTGATCATCGGAGTGGTAAATTTTGCTGAAGGGCAAACACGATGTTCAACATAAGAATAATCTATAATAAGTTATTTCCTAGTCACTATTTACCAACAGGTTAGATATTATGCTTTACGACAACACTACCTGCAAGCATCCGAGCGCGTTTTGAACGAAGCACTTCTGGCTATATTTTGTTAGTTATTGAGTAAGATGTATTATTAGCTTGCTCAACTGGGTGACGCCCCCGGCCATGATTCACAAATTCGAAGATAGACGCCCAAAACAATTCGTATGGAACATCCAAGACCTGTGGCCAAGTTTAAACGCCATTTCTGGACAAAATTCTCCATGCGGTAGTCATTCCATATGAGTCTAGGGGGTGGTATCGTTTAGTGCGTGGAACCTTTTTGCTAAACAATTTTTACCACCAAGAAATGGTTCTCCATTGCTAGTATAGATCCAATCGAAATCGTCAAAACATGTTAGCCCTTGTGAAGCTTTTGTAGGCCACACCCGAATGGACAGATATGAGGAAATCTCAATGGTGGAGAGAAACGAGAATTTCAGACGTTTGGGACTTCTTCAGCAATGCTTAAAACAGACGACCAGAATAGGCCACAGGCATGCTGAACTGGGGCTTCAATCTACGCCTTTTATGAGCACTGTTGACAAAGCTAGGTAGTTTGGCTGGACTCTGCGAGATAACTTATACGAGGCCTACTTTCGAGTGTTCAACTCTTACTAAATTGCCGGTATTCTGTAGCTCGCGGCATTGGCAATAGTGACGATGGAGTCTTCCGCAACTTGACACCAGAACGGGCCTACCAGAGCCATTTCAATTTTTTGTTTATCGGAGACATAAATGAGGGACTCCGTTTAGTTAGTACATGACCCAGTCAATCAGCCAAAATTGTATATCACTATAGCTCTGTCGGCATGACTGTATGATAGAGATTAGTGGCCGTTTTCTCGTTAACACAAATATTGTCATAATTTTCCATTTTCCCTGTGCCATAGATTATTAGATACCTACAACTACAGCCCTCTGGGTACTCCAACATACCTCGGTCCAATATGCTGACGTAGGACACATTTCCGCATTTGGACACCCCACGTCACGTGCGATCAGCCGATAAGATGCCGGAGCGCTGGACCCCAGCTTCGTCAAACAAATTGCGCGCAATTTCAAATTGAGCTTCAATTACCTGACATGCTACCCCACGCTCTCTAATAGATTAATGGACCTATACTCCACCCCAAAGTCTTGAGTCCACCGTGAAACCTCAAGTCGCTTCCGATTCCCCGGTTCATGTCAATGACTGAATGAATCCTGGTGCCGACACACATATTTCGAGACTCCCTAACAATATATCGTACCTAAAAGCTTTTCATTGAGACAAAATGACGTCGCCCTATCCATCATCAGCCTCGTTCTCAACCCCCCTTGGCTCCGACATGGCCACGGCTTCCAGCAGATCGGTCTCCGATTTACCGCAAGCCCAAGTTGACGCGATAATTCGCACGAAGCGCAAAGCGCGCGAACCCAAAGCCTGCTATCCTTGTCATGCGCGGAAGGTCAAATGCGATCGCAATCTGCCGTGCGACGGCTGCGTCAAGCGCGACCATGCAGATCTTTGCTCCTACGAACGCCCTTCGAAGAAACGCTCGCAGGCTTTTCATGAGAGCCCTTCAATCGACAGTGCATCGGCAGCGCCTATGGTAGATTATTCGGCCGGGTATCCGTACGATGATGCCCCGGTAAGCGTGAAACAGGAACCGGCACCAGCTCGATCGAATGGCGCGGCTACTGGCGGTCGGGTGTCGATTGCCCGCGAGGAATGGGACAATGTGCGCAACAGATTGAAAGAAATGGAATCTACCATTTCCAACCTTCGGGTTGGATTGGAAAGGGTTGAAGATGCCCCGACCTCTCTGGAAACTGGAAGCGTGCAGAGTGGCGGTGCGGGTTCCCGCTCCAAGGGTGCTTCGCCGGAACGCGAGGGCATCCATGCTGCGAATACTCTGGGCAAAGGCACTGTTCATCTCGGATCCCGGTCCGTTCTGGCTTATATCTTGAATAACCAATCTGGCTCCGATCAGCTGCAAGCTCTTTTGGAGGGAGGAATACTACCTAAGCTGGGTCTGGATAATGAGTCTGCGACTTATCCATTTGTCGATCTATGGTCATCAGATATGTCGACTTTCGATATCAGTGCTGTCTGCAGCGCCCTTCCTTCTGACGAGCAATGCAGAGTGTGAGTAGTCATGTTATTTCACCCTTGGGGCAATTTGACTGACTATGTTACAGATTCTTCTACTGCTACAAGGAGATCTCAGGAGCGATATATCCTGTGTTGGAAGACATTTCTGCGTTTGAAAATACTCTCGAACTTTTAATACAGACCAGAATTTCTGTTGGAGGCGAGTACCGAACGGATACCGATGAGGCTGAAAATCCCTTTGGAGTAAGCATTGCCTACCTGGGTCTATTGTTTGCTATTCTTGCCTCCGGATGCCAGTCATCTGATCTTGGCAGCAAAGAGAGAGAATTGACTTCACAGGTCTATGGTATGTCCTCAACTCCAAGCTCTTCCCCGGGATTGCTGGCTAATTATGTCACAGTGTGTTGCTCTTACCAGTGTCTCCGAATGACAAATTTCCTATCCCAACCCACCATAGAAGCCATTCAGACTCTCTTGGTGATTGGCAACGTTTTGTCCTATAACATGAATCCTGGAATTTCCTATGTCCTGCTTGGTATGACTCTTCGCATGGGGTTGGCGCTTGGACTGCATGTTGAGTCAAGTCGATTTTCATCAGCTGAACGATACCGTCGACGACACACATGGTAAGCTATCACCTCCTTTTACCCAAAAAGCATAGCACTGACGCAAACAGGTGGTCTATGGCATGGCAAGACAGCCACTTTTCTCTTTCCTATGATCGCCCCTCCACAACCGCAGTCAGCCAACCAGAGATTGCGTACAAAGAGGGATCGAAACGCGGCGATTATTCTTACTTTGAAACTCTCTGTCGAGTCATTTCTCTTGCACTTGAGGTTGTTCGCATTCGCATGCTGAGCCCACACGCTCAGTTCAGCCTCGAAAGTATCCAAACCTACAAGGAACGCATTTCAAAAATCATGATAGAAGCAAAGCCATACTTGCGCGACGCGCAGGTTTGTCAAACACCCACAGAGCATTTGGAACGAGTTGTACTCAAATTACACTCTTCCTACTTTTCTTCCGAGCTCTGCCGACCAGCTCTCAAATCTATGAATGATGTCAATGACTCCGGCACTGCTGGCGTGCGCAGGGACTGCGTGTTGAACTTGATGATGACCGTCGAAGCTTACATCGAGATGCACAACATTAGCTCTCATTCGGCTCGTTCCTGGATTGCATTGCAGCGGGCAATCAGCTCGGCATTCCTTCTTGCTGTCATCGAGGAGGCCAAATCGGACCCGACCGTCTGGAATCTTCTACACCAACTCGAGGGGATCATTGCTCAAAGAGCCAGCAATGAAAGAGCCTATGAATCTGCAGACGCCGCCGCTGTGGCCGGTATGACCTCGCCGCCCCAGGCCATGGGAACTTACGACCCGATCACCGGCGCCACGAATCCACCAGGCTCTATTGCCCCCGCAATGAATCCAACATCTCCTGCTGCAATGCCCGCCGATACGCAAACCCAATGGGCCAAGTCGCTAGCGAAAACTCATCGTGCTCTACAGAAGCTGCTCACTGCCTTCGGCAATCCACACACACGACCTGCTGCTGGAAGCGGCGGCACGCCTGCATATCTCTCTCAGGTCAACCTCAACCCAAATTCTACCAACATGGGGGCATTTGCTCCTCCGCCTGCTAGCATGACCCCTAGTGTCAGTTCCCTGCCACCCCCTACGCCGGAAAGCTCTGGTAGTGGCGAATGGACAATTCCCAATATCTTGGATCGGGCATCAGAGTACATTCACCCTCCGTTGTGGGGCTAAGCTTGACATGGATCATCTGTTTCGAAAGTTTTTGATTTTTACTTGTTTATCTTCAGCGTGGCGCTGGAGTCTTTTAGGTTTCTCATAATTGTTGCCATCTGCAAAAGATTTTTCCCCTTTCCTGGGACTGGAATCATCGGAAAACTTCTGGGTTGGTTATACAAATATCTTCCCCGTATAAAATAATTCGTCTTTGTGCTACATAATGAATCTATATCCCGCTATATTTCGAAATCAAGTTGCGGGCCTTAACTCCCCCACGCACTCACCGAACCCAACACCAGAACCAGGCGCTCCAGCCAAAGCAGTCATGCGAATCACATCTCCGTCCTGCAAATAAAATCTCTTCGAGCCGTTTGCCAGAAACACAGGTTCCTTCCCACCCTTGGTAACTTCAAGCAAACAGCCAAAGCTGCCGTCAGTTGGTCCACTGACTGTGCCTGTCCCCAAGATGTCACCAGTCTGAAGGTCCGCTCCAGTACTGGCAAGATGGGCGCACATCTGGCGTCCACTCCAGTGAAGATCACGGGTGTTCGATTCACTGAGAGTTGTAATCTGTCCTTCGTTCAAAAGTTCCACCTTCATTCCGATGTCATAGTTGGACTCGGACCCTGAGACATCTTCCAAATGACTAGCAAGCACAGCCTCAGGTTTTGGTCCAGACACCTTGAAGGACTCGAGGGCATCCAGTGTCACCACCCATGGGGAGATACTCGTCCCAAAAGCCTTGCCGTTCAAAGGACCCAGTGGGACCATCTCACAACCTTGAATATCGCGGGCTAGAATTACAATTTGAGTCAGTCTTGCTACTTTCGCTTGTTCGGAAGACACGATGTACTCACCACTCCAATCATTCAAAATGACCATTCCGAAGATATGTTCATCCGCGTCTTTGGCGTTGACCTCCTGTTGTCTCGGCACGCCCTTTCCTACAATCACACCGACCTCCAGCTCATAGTCCATCGCTCTGCATGGGCCATATATAATCGGTTTCTTCTCGCTGGTAGCAGTCCGATCAAAGAAATGGCCCTTTGGACGGACGATTGGAGTCCCGGAGACTACCACTGTACTCGAACGACCATTATATCCGATCGGGAAATTAAAGAAGCCCGGAGGTGGGGATTCGTCGTTGAGGATTGCCCGACCGGCGTTTCGGACATGGTGAAGGCTGCACGAGAAATCTGTGAACCCACCCACCGATACGGGAAGGTGTAGAATGACTGCACTAATATCCTCGGTGCTGTTTGAAGGCAATTCCTTAATCAAGATATTCTGCAGCACAGTCCGTACCTCGCGGTGGACAGCCTTTGGAAGTGCAGCGAACTCATTGAGCGTGGACTTGCTGAATACCCCTTCAGGAAGACCGGAGATCTTGACAAAGACACCAGACTGTTGAAGCACACCGAGGAAAATGACGGTATTCTCTAGCCGAGTAACGCATTGCGGAGTAAGATGCCTCGGAGATGATGCTATGCCGAACGGGATGTTGGCCAACGAGAAGTGGTTACTGTAGTCCGGGGATGTCATGGTCAAAATACATACAAAACTAGTCAGGCTCGAACTAGGATATGGCTACATGCTCCTTTTAACTCCATAATTCGACTCCTTGCATTCATCTTTCCCCACTGCCCGACCATGCGGGAGACGTCAGAATTCGCCCACATCCCGAATGACTAATATTAGCCCTAACTGGGCAGCTTTCTTGGTATTTGAAGCGGTTACAAATGACAGGGACTTTTATTCCGTGTATTGGCTTCGAAGGATAATATCAACGATCACGGATGTGGTCAAAACCTGCTGATTAACTTGGGTGGCCTTAACAGCCCCTCGCAGCAAGGGTGTGAGACATACAACCCCGGAAACCCTGCACGGGTAGGCTGAGACAGACTCGTTCCCAACCACGCTAAGCACGGTAGATATCATTGGATGCACTGCAGGCATCTTTGGTCGTCGAATCGGCGGATACGGAGATTAAGCTGGTATAACGTCGGCCCATGACAGGAGTCAGCGGAGTAAGAAACTCTCCGCGGAGGTAAATTGAACCTCTGGATTTATAAGCTTCCAAGACTAGTCCCGACCTTTATCGTCAAATCTCACTCACTGTTCTCATTCATTCCCCCCAGCACCCTTCCAACAAAACCTTCACTCTATCCCGCGAGATCAGTTCACGATTTGTACCAGCACGTGGAACATGTCGTCTGTACCACCAAATCAATATTACAAGGTCGGGGTGCTGCTGTTTCAAGGCGCAGATATCCTCGACTTTGCGGGCCCAATAGAAGTACTCTCTCATGTCTCGCACAACCGCAATCCCGACAACCCGGACCGGATGTTCGACATCAAGACTATCGCCCGCGGGCCAGTCAACCGTGCAGCAGGCTCACTAGCAGTTCACGCGGATATCCTCCTGCCCGAAGCCCTCGAACAAGTTTCAGAATTTGACATCCTGGTTGTTCCGGGTGGACCATCTTCGATTTTAGAGCCGCTTCTCGGTGACAACGTACCGGAGCTGGATCTGATCCGCAAATTTGCCGCCCTTCCCCAGAGCTCATCAGGCCCCAGAATTCTGTTTTCGGTTTGCACCGGTGCGTTCTTACTTGGTGCTGCCGGTATTATTGCCGGAATGACTGTGACAACCCACCACCACGGACTTGACAGACTTCGGGAGATATGCGCTCGGTCAAATGATGCGGAGGCCGCTGCGACGAATGTGGTGCATAAGCGCTATATTGATGGTGGTTTGCTGAGGGGTGGTAGTGTTAGGCTCATTACGGCCGGTGGGATAAGCTCGGGTATAGATGCCACTTGCCACATCGTTCGTGAATTGACTACTGCTGAGATGGCCAATTTTGTGGTTCGAGTCATGGAGTATGACTGGCGTCAGCTTAGTGAATAGTTGAGGCTCCAGTAAGACAAAGTACGAAAGTCAGTCTCTAGCAAAACATGAGATACAAGTTTATTACGGTATCAGGTCTCCGGTAGCACCTGGCAGCTATGTACAGATAGTGTAACTTGGCTTGGAGAGACATATGTGATAGTCTATACTTCGATTGCGCGATCCCCGAGTTCAACGTATGTCACGCGGTAGTAAATCCTTCTTCGACTGTTCGCCCAATGAAAGCAACCAAAATACATAGTTTGACAGCCCAACTCTGCAAAATATGCACCACACTGTCGGGCCGCTCTATCGAGACTTTGGCGGCCAACTTCCATTTTTGGACTTAACCCGTCGACATCTCCACACCTTCAGCCAGACCGAGTATTATTTGACCGATAGGGGACATGAAGCTCAGCCTGCAATATGTTACACTCGTATGAAATGGTCGTCATGTGCAACATCCCAAAGACATTGCCTTGATTGCCTCCTAGTTCAAGGTACATGGTCGCTCATCCCGAGCCCTACAAAGACATCATTGACAAAGATGTATAGGCTAAGCATTCTGCATGACCAACAAGTTTCAGAAAAAGACGCATGCCTAGTCATCAAATACGATTCTAACACAAGGTACCGTTGGCCTATGTCTAGGAATATCGTTTAAGCCACCCATCCAGAGCGGCTCTACACGAGCTTCGGTGACACTTTCCGCACGATATCACATCAAGTTTTCCATTCTCAGCCTCTCGACTCAGCATAATCTCATTTTTCTGTTTAGTTTCAAACAGGGTGGGCCTGTTTTGCAGTTCCGCCCGACACTTAACTCATCCTGAAGACAAAATGGAGTGGAGACAGCACACCCTCAAGTTGTACAGATCAATTTGCGTTCATGCCTGGGATGTCCTAGGTTCAGCCTTAGTCCTAAAGGCTGAGTCCGCATCAGGGCCACAGTCATCGACACGAGAGCTGGGCTGTTCAGGCTGCTGCTCAACGGCCATATTTCCGCAAATGGGAAGTATATATCACCATGTGGCTCGGACTTAAGAGGGATATTTGTCTCTCATGCGAATCCAAAAAGAAACGCTTCAACTGCTTATCAACTCGATTATCTTCTCTTTTGGCGTCTTCGGGTATAGCAGTGTCTGTTCCAGATATTTCCAGTGGGAACACACGTTGTACATCAAGTCACCATGGTTTCTATGCCACCCATTGCGGATATTGCCTCCACCACGTTCCTCCCCAAACTCACAGAGAATGGAATTGCCCATTTCACAGACGAGAAGGCCAATCAGGAGATCTTTGTTGATACCGTAGAGGTGGTATCTTCCAAGCCTGACAGCGACGATCATGTTGTCATAACCGCAAACGGGAACGGGGCTACACTACAGGAACAAAGTGTGCCCAAAGACCCCATCGTCGCGCCAGATTCAGAAACGTTGTCTAAAGATCAAAAAACGGCCATGGAAGTTCTGAATATTATCGAAACTTATGGTGTCGATTTCGAAAAATCGGGCGTTTCCTGGAAAGGCTTCGATTCGTTCGTTCCTATTGTCCTGGCCCAAATCAAGAAACAGGAGCCTATTCGCATGATCCTGCCTGCTTTCCCATTCAAGTCCCCAAATGCACGCGATAAAGTCTTGGGCAACATGCCCGACTTTGGTGAGGAGCTGGCACTTTCTCATTTGAATGGATTGTGCCAGAACATCGCCGATGTATATGAGCCCGGCGCCCATGTACATATCAGTTCAGATGGACTTGTGTACAATGGTAAGTTAAAGCAATCTTAATGGTTTGATTCTTATTAGTACTGATACCCCACTAGATATTCTCGGTGTCCCGGATGAAACCGTTTGGGACTATGGAGAGACGCTGCGCAAGATGGCCGCCGAAAAAGAGCTCCATCATGTCAAGTTCATTCGGCTCTTCGAGCTGCTTGAGCATCCTTGGTTCCCAACATCAACCTCAGAGGATGCAAAGGCTTTTTATCTAGCCCATGCCAGTTGTCTCCGCCGAGAGCTGATGTATGCCTTCGGCGATCCGACATTTGACGCGGACGTGGCCATCAAAACCGACAACGACACATGTTTAACATATCGTGGCTACATCAAGTTCCTCACCAAGGACCTTGCTCATCAAGACGAGAGCAAGTTTGCGTCCAAGCGCGCTCGACAGACGCAGATTGCGAAGACAGCGCGACAGATGATCATTCGCGGTAAAATGTTCGCAGCGGCTATTAAAGCCAACCGCAAGGATTACGTGCGACTTTCCATCCACGAGTCTGCTGGCGAGAAGAAGCTTTCTGTCTCACTGGTTCCACAGCTTCGTGGCGCTCTCGGGTACACTCCTTGGCATGCTTCTGTGGCGGTTGGCCTCGATGGTTCATATCGCACCGTCCATGCCGAGGATGTAAGAGACACCCACGACGTGGTATATAAGAACGGACAGCCGTATTATTTCCGTGAAAAGTCGCAGCTCTTTGACTGGACTGCGGATGGCCTGTCGGTCAAGTTCGAGCATCTATATCCATGTGGACTCGTCATTCGCCCCGCCGACATCGATAACGTGAACGCACCGCCATCTATTCGCTCCATTCCTATGCAAAAGGTCCGGCAGCTCTCCAACAATATGTCTCCAATCATCCTCCGAGGATTTGCAGAGACCCTGGAGGAAGAGTATTACGTCCAGAAGGCATCGGAGCTGGGCACCATCCTCCCATGGAGCTTTGGTATCATCCAAAAGGTCCGCGACGATGGCCGCTCAGACAAGATGGGCAATAATGTCACCTCCAACGAGGCGATGCCAATGCACTTTGACGGTATGTTCAAGTTTGAGGAGATCACCGATCCCGAAACAGGCGAGAAGAAGAAAATCCAGCGCCCGCCAGGTTACCAATTCTTTACTTGCCCAGCTACAGCGCCCAAGGGCAATGGATACACCCTGTTCACAAGTTCGCGCCTTTTCTTCCGGTATCTCCCTCTGCCATGGTCAGCTGAACGCCTCGAAAACATCACCTGGGCTATGGATAACAATGGGTTCTGGGATGCGAAGCTTAAGAATTTGAAGCTGATTGTGAAGCATCCTGTGTCTGGTTTACCATGCTTGCGCTGGCATCAGCCATGGGACGAGACGAAGACCAGATTCTCTACATGCGATGTTACAATCGAGAACGATGACAACAGTCTGGTCCAAGTTGTGGATCGTGTCACGTATGACTATCGTGTGTGCCTGCGGTTCGGGTGGGAGAAGGGTGATCTGCTGGTCAGCGACAATACAGCTATGCTGCATACCCGAACTGGGTATATCAGTAACTGTGATCGCGAGTTGTGGCGTATTCACTGTGATTAGGTATCTTTCATCATTTGTGTTGCTTTGGATGATATACTGTCGTTTTCTTTTCGGTTTGTGGTTGCCACTCATTTGTGCTCATATGTCCAACTTGTTTGGATCTAAATTGTGAACTATACCGAAGAAATTATAAACAACCTTCAAAGGAATATAAATATAAATTAGACTCTGATTTTCATGTCCCAGAACTCATCCATGGTTAATAATTTTGACTGTGCATCATTTTTCAAACTCCATGTACTAACTAAACCACTGTCTCGTATGCTACTCAAGGTTTGCAATTCAAAAAGTTTCATTCGAGTATTATGTGAAAAGAAGACCGCTTAGTTAACTTGATTTCTTTTATATTATCCCTGTGTCTAATTAGAGGAAAACTCCATATCATTAATATTTCCATTCCAATCAGACTTGATCCAAATGACTGCCACGTTCAAGATACAGAAAATCCCTACATTTCTGACTGTTCTTCATGTCACTCAAGCCATTAATGAAAGATGTGCATGCCATTTATTTAATTACAGTTCTTCTCCGACGATATAATATCTCTATCATGATACCCAGCCCGAAACCCTTACAGCATTCTAACAGGAAAACTCCCTGCCGAGGAGTTCGAAATCTTATGTATAGGACATCCTTGCATGTATGATCCCGCATCCATCCAAGACCTAGAATGTATGTTCTGAGGGTAGCAAAGACAAGTCAGTCTGGGCGGAGTTTGTTGGGCCACCGTAGCAGGATTTTCAAATCCAGTGTATGAGTTTGACGGCGGAAAAGATGGTATACATGCGGATGCCGGAGACGCTGGAGGAACCAAGACAATTACCTTTGACTGAGGGGACGTGGTGTTGATAACCTGGAGAATTTGGGGGAGCGCGGCCTCTGCTGGTTAGTTAATATTTGATTCAATATACCGTTTGGATAGATCCATGCTCACCAGTTGCAACATAGTAAGAAGGCTGGTTTTCTTGCAGTGCAAACAATGAATCTGGCGGCAAGGCCTCTTCAGTGGGTAGCATAGTATCTCGGAATGTATCTCCACCCAGACCAGCTGTAGCGGATGATGGCATCCCATTCGAATGGGTCAAGATTCCTCCTCCAAGATAGGGTGGCAATTCTCCATGATAGCCAGCCGTGGGGAAGGCGTTGAAATCACTCGGCCACGAAGTGGATGAGAAAATGGGGTATGATGGCATGAAAGGCGTTGATGGCTCTATTCCTAGGGGAGAAACATCTCGGGAAACGAATCCAAGATCATTTTCGGATAGCGCTGTGTGTGTTTTGTGTGGCAAAGGTGACGGTATATATTGCTGATCCCAGCCGTTGGCTGCTGCTGCTCTGAGTTCATTGGCAATGACGCGCTCTTGGAGCTTTGCAATTCGGTCTCTGATTTTGCGACCTAGATATTGTTATCTTGGGATTTCCAGACATATTGTTGAGGGAAAGTCTTACGGTGATTTCTTTGAGAAAGGCGGTTCTGCAACCTTCTTCTCTCTAGGGGATTCTGCAGCTGGCTGGGAATCTCCTCCTTGGGAGTTGCAGGATTATGCTCCATCTTCATTTTGTAAGCAATATATCCAGTCGTGTAATTGCTTCTGCGGTGGTTGACGTGCTTGGGATATTGCATATCTCATATAAAAGACCTGAAAAAGGCTTTCCGTCGTCAACCTCGGAAACTTAACCCCTAAATGGCCATTGCCGTCTTTCCTTTATAAAGGACGTGCACCCACGAAGCAATCACAATTGATCTCAACGTGTCACGCAGCCAGTGCAACAGATCGCCGTCAGAGACTCGGTTCGAAAACGACTGGTGATAGATCATTCTCGATCTCAGCCGCGTGACGCCCTGAGGCCTACCATGTCGCATGCCATTTTCAGCTTGCTTACCATTTCAGCGTGGGTTTGTGTAGGGATCTTGGACACCGTGTCAGAAGGTTTTAGGGCTTGGTTGTACGAGAAGGTGCTGTCCGAGGCTATCCCGGGTCCGGATATGGTCATAAACATGGCGCTGCCTGGAATTCTTCCGTCTCTCGTTCCTCCGTTCCAGTAGCCTGGGATCTGGAATGGCTCATGAAACACTCGCTTTTGATCTGTGTTCTAGCGGTCGAAAGTCTTCTATCCGAGTCTTGTAACCTTGCTTGGAGCTCTTGGCTGTACTACCTTTTGGTCGAGGAAACCTACCTACACATCTTACTACTTTGAGTGAGCACTTACCCTAACTATACCTTAGAACACATCTGTGGCGCAAAAAGTATCATTTGGTAGTCTCGGACATCTCCGATGTCAACTCATTATCCCTTGTGGGCTTAGAATTCACGTGGCTACGCAACACTGATTGACCCTGGACTTTGCATTTATGCGGAGGCTCAGTGATGATCTTTTATTGGCATTCTTCCCACCTGAGTAGCTCGACACAGGCCCAGGATAGAACAGGGGAACCAGGCTGTGCTTACAAGGACTCGACTTTGGGGCCGGTACAACTTGGCCCAATCTGAAGTCTAAAAATAAGAGACACGTCGGGGGTTGGCCACTCGATATGACTAGAATAAAGAACCAACACTGAATATACTCCGGGTTTGACCCAAATGTCTTGTGTTTCTCTCATTTCTCGGTTCTGGTTCGGAAGGTTACATGAATAACCGAATGGGTTCAATATACCGAACTATGGCGTTGGACATATCCGAAACCCCCTAGAGAGTGATGCATACAGTAGTGTCATAGGTAATATAGAATTGGCATCTCAAATTAAATTCATCCTCGGATTAGCAACTCCCGCGGGCTGCAATAAATCTCGATTAGCCATAGGACGCTGCCATGTGGTGTTTTAACGACCGCCCACTCACCTGAAATGTATGCATGTGAGATCCAGCCGTAGTAATTCGGAAGATTGTATTTATTTGCTAGCGGTGTGAGCTTTGGAATGTCCCCTTTGTGTAACTGTAATGCTCAAGAGGGATGTTGATTGCCTTGAAGTAACATGTCCATGGTCTGCTTGAAGCATCATTTCAGACTTTCTATATTCAAAAAGGGAATAAGGCCAAGACATTGGTATCTTGTGCTGCCTCTTATTTCAATATTGGAAATGTGGCAGTATACCACACTTAGGGCTGTTGAAGTTGCGGGCTCATCAACTGCACTCACCCCAACCAATCAAACATGATGTTTTGCGCAGACTAAGCAATTCCTAGATGCAATTTCAACGATCAGTCATACCTTTTATCTGCAAGGCTTGCCTTGCTAGTGCCCAAGCCAGTAAACCGCCAAGAGTTCCTCATAGCTAGGCAGCAAAGTACCACCTCAACTTACACTCACCTGCAACCATCATCCTCTCTCTTGACTTGCACCTCTTGCCATACTGTTCAAGATCCCGGTACCAAAGGTATTTGTCAAAATGGATTCCCTCCTAAGGACAGTAGGAAACCTCCTACCATATCACCTCCTCGGCTATGGTGCTCTGCTCGGAACAGAGCTGTACCAGGTAGGACACCCCTTCCCTCAGCATAGTGCCGAACTAACCTCGTGGTTAGAGCTTTATCAACACAAAGATTTGCTTTCAGGTCCTTTCGATGAAAGAATTCATCGTACTGCAGAAACGACTTTTCCCTGTCTACTTTGCCACCCAGGTTGGCCTGACAGCCCTGACGGCAGCGACCTGCCCGCCATACAGTATCCTGTCACTTTTGAAAAATCCTTGGAGCGCTGGGTCTCTCGCAGTAGTTGCATTGATGGGCTGTCTGAATTGGTTCGTGTACGGCCCGAAGACGACAACTGCCGCGTTGGTAAGAAGAGCACTGCATGGTACGTATGGCTAGAATATGTCTGCAGTTGATACATGGTGGCTAATTGCTTCTTGCCCTCCAGAGAGCAAGAATACCCATTCCGACTCCGACTCCAATGGGTCCAAGGTGGACCGGGCTAATCGCAATTTCGCGCGAAACCACGCGATGGTCATTCATTTAAACGCTATTGCTATGATCGCCACGGTTATCTATGGGTTTTCTTTGTCGTCAACTCTTACGACAGGACTCTAGGCACATAACCCATAATGACTAGGTTCTCAAGGATACAAGAAAGGGTACGACTAGGACTGTTTGTCAGGCATTTGGTCCTTCATTCTCGCATTAAACATCTCAGCTCAATTTCAAAGGAGACCCGGGCTAGCTATCTGCATATTAACCAATGGTATTACTTTCTCTACTTGCGGATCTGTAGGAGCTGTAGAATAGACCTTCAATCTTCACAGAGAGGGATGTCCCAGCGGCCACAGCCGAAATGAAACGCCTGATGTCAAGTCGCGACAAAGTCGTATGTGATGACCCCAGCCAAGGCACGAAGCAAGAATAACCAGTGAAGACCTCACCACTCACTCAGCCCAAAAGTCGGCTGTCCAAATGTATGGGCCGTAACAACCTGCAAAACAGAAGATCTTTGCCGGGTTGCTGCATCCCAGGTCACACTGCTTGCTCAAACTACCCAGAAGAAAAAAGAATATCGTGACATCGCCAGGAAACCATGCGTCAACCTCGAGCGAGCCACTTTCTGACAAAAAGTCATCGCCCACGACGATACGGCTTAGAGATCAAAGGGCACTCCGAGTGAATGACAAGACCTGACCAATGGACTACACAGCCGTCATCCGTTAAATAGCCTGTCAATTACTGGATTATAGCCTACTCAGAACAGGGTATGGTCAAGAGTATCAGTCCTCCACTGTGTTTGTACAAACGCTTGTCAGCCCAGTTCATTACTCAAATATGGTCAACAGTATGTGACAGTGAAGTTCAGAGCTTCAAACTACTTACAGTTTTGATGGAGATCATGGCTTTCTATATAACGAGGCTTTACCTGTGCCCTACGCCCAACACGAGCACCTCACCTCCGGATTATATCTGAAATCCCCATCCTGAGCAAAACCCACATGGCTCCTGCACCTACTAAGCAGCTGAATCCCGCCATGTCGGACATGAGTCACCTCAGCAAAGGCATGTTGACTTCCGCTGACACCAGGTGCGTTAGGGCACGTCAAAACACTCCGCTACAAGTTTTCCAGCATAATAATACCATATCACCCCAGCTGTCCGTTCTTCTACCTATCTTCCTCCCTATTTTCACACTCAAACCCCATACATCCACCGAGATGCTACCAATCCTCCTAATCCCTCTAACAATTCTCCTCCCACCCATCCTCTTCCTAGCATGGTACCTCCACACCCCAAATACCTTCCCCAACCTCCCCAAAATCCCAATTTACGTCTCAATCCTAGGCCTCTGGTCCTCAATGGGCCAAGATGAGATCTACGAACGCTGGTTCCGAGCTCCACTTGAGAAACACGGCGCAGTCCTAGTCTGGTTCGCGGGACGATGGAGTATTCTCGTTTCCCGGCCGGAGTGGTTGACGGATATGTTTCGGAATGATCAGTTATATGCGAAAGCCGGGAGTCAGAAGAAGATTCCGCATTCGGTTATTGCTACGCTTGTCGGGGATAATATTATCAATGCCCAAGAGAACTGGAGGCTTTTTACGTCGATTATGAAACCAGGTCTGCAGAAGAAGGTTTTCGAGACTTCTTCATTGCTGAGGCAGTCGAGGAGGTTGGTGGATATTCTCGTCGGATTGCAGAGGGATGTTGGGGAGGGCAAGGGGATCTTGGTTAATGCTGATGTGCAGAAGTGGGCGGTTGATGTTATGGGGGAGAATTTCCTGGACTTGAAGTTTAAGGTATGCCATCTTCCCATATTTCAATTGCTATACCGATATACACATACTCAACTAAGCACGGTACAGAGCCTCGGCCAACCAACCGGCCATGTCCGCATCGAAGCCCTCCAATCCATAATAAAAGCCACCCTCTTCAAACCAATGTACTTCAGCTTTCCAGACCTGGACCACTTCCCCTGGCTCCTCCGATCCCGCAAACGCGCCTACGAAATAATGCACGAGTTCGACAACCGCCTATACGCAATGGTGGTGGATATGCTAGAGCACCGCAGCCAAAAGTCCAAATCGGAAGAAATGTTCTCACACATGCTAGGCGAGGCCTACAAAACCGGCCGCATAACGGAGAAACAATTCCGCAATAATCTCAAGATAACATTCCTAACAGCACACGAAAACACGCAACAACTAGTTAATAGTATGTTCTGGCAATTGGGCGTGCGAGACGATATTCAATCCCGTCTGAGAGACGAGATCCTCGCTACAGCGGGTACACATCCAGATCCCTCGCAGGAGATTATCAACAAACTTCCCTACCTTACAGCCGTGGTCCTCGAACTCCTCCGTCTCTTCCCGCCAGTATGCCAACTCATCAATCGGGTAGCATTACAAAATGCCATGCTAGGCGGCGAACTACCTATCCCAAAAGGCACCTTTGTGGGATGGAATGCATGGGCAGTGCATAGTAACCCGGCAGTTTGGGGAGAAGATGCGCGCGAGTTCCGACCTGAGCGGTGGGGGGAGACGATTGAGGAGATGCAGGGGCGGTTTCGGAGGGAGACGGTGCGTGGGACGTATATTCCATTTAATGCGCATAAGCGGAAGTGTCTCGGGCAGGGGTTTGCGTTGTTGCAGATCAAGATCTTTTTGTTTGTTCTGCTGGGGAAGGTGAGGTGGGTGGTTGATCCTGCGTATCAGTTGAAGATGACGCCGGTAGGTGCAAGGTTTTTTTTTTTTTTTTT